GATACCACAACTGAAAAAAAATAGAACATACAATTCTTCAGCAAATAGTATTTGGAAATTTTTCAGCACTTGGTGAAACTTCACTTCAAGAAAAAGGTGTACACTTCTCTCAAAGTAGCCAGGCAGATAAGGTTCTTCTTCTTTCTGCACCCTTGTCATAAAACGGGATGTTTTTCCAGAATTGTGCAAAACTGATAACTCTTTCCATTGCTGCAGCAAGGTCCTGTCTTGTACAAGTCTCATCAAGGAGTTGGCAAACAGGCAAGTGCTCCATAGCTTGCACTTCACTGCACTCATATGTATTTATATAATTAGAGTAGCCCTATTTGATCTTGTTTGTTTTTGATCTTCCAGTTTTCATGTGCAGGTGATTTAGGCATCACCATGTTGGCCAATCTAGGTCCACCCCTCTTGGGAGGTTCTCCTGAGATTCTGGGTCCATTTAGAGCACCTGATTGCATGTAATCTTTTCTTCCATCTTGGTTGGGTTTGCATGACACTGATTCTTATTGTACTAATCTGAGAGGTTGCTCAGTATACATTCATGTCAGTCTATTCTTGACAGTGGCAAAGTCCTTCTCTTGTAGGGTGATGGCAAGGTCAGGTGGAGAGATACAATAAAAATAGTACCAATAATATTTTCAGAAACTCGAACTTTTATTTTTTAATTATAAACCTTTCAGAGTGTGGGTTGAGTCCCAGGCTTGAGATCCTGCTGTTTTGATTGGTGGAGCCCATCCACCAATCAGGAGGCAGCAAGAGAATCAAGCCATGCCCCTTTCCTGAGGGGAGGGGGAGAAGAGCTCCCCTGGACCTGATTGAAGACTGCAAACTGTCAGGTCCAGAAGACTTCAGGGGCACAGCCCTGGAGCATATAAAAGGAGCTGCGTGCCCAGCACGGGGGCAGATGCAGTGAGGGACTTAAAAAGACAGGAGCCAAGAAAAGCTGGGGAGCTCTCCCCCAGTGGGCAATAGGCCCAAGGCTCCTGAAGCTGCCACTGGAGGAGCAGCCTTGGGAGCAGTGTGAGACTGCTCGGGCCCATCATGGTACAGAGTTTGGTGCACAGAGCCCAGGCTTTGGTAGCCACAAGGGTGGCTTGAGCCTACAACCCCAGCAGGGCCAGCGGGCTACTTGGTGCATGGAGCAGTGCACAAGGCAAGGGCCTTGGGGGCCGCAGTGAGGCAGCTCAGGTCCCATTTCCCAGCAAGCGGCCAGGTCCCATGGGCGACACGTGGGCCCAAGCCTTGGGAGTCAGGGAGCAGCAGAGGCTGCTTGGGTTAGCTACCTGGTGTGAGGACCAATGGAGAGAGCCTGAAGGGGCCCACCCTGTGCTAAAAGAGCCTTGGTGCTGAAGCTAGGGCACAGGGAAATAGTAGTGGTGCAGCGTGAGGCCCAGCACCCAGAAGCCAGCAGCGGTGGTGCAGCAGCTGAGGGGAGAAGAGCCCTCAGTGCCCAGAGCAGAGAGGCCTGGAGAGGTACTCCAACAGAGGAGATCCCATTGAGCTGTGCCCTGACCACCACCACCTGAGGAAACATGAGTTATAGATTTCATAGATTTCATAGATATTAGGGCTGGAAGGGACCTCGGAAGATCATCAAGCCCAACCCCCTGCCCGAAGGGCAGGAAGTCAGCAGGGGTCATAGGATCACAGCAAGATAGACATCCAAATGTCTCTTGAAGGCATTCAAAGTGGGTGCTTGAACCACCTCTGGCAGCAGTTTATTCCAAACCTTGGGGACTTGGACAGTGAAGAAGTTCTTTCTTATGTTCAGCCTGAATCTGTCACAGTGGAGGTTGTGACCATTCAATCTTGTCATTCTTTGGGGGGCTGTGGTGAACAGACATTCCCCAAGATCCTGGTGAGCACCCCTGATAAACTTATAGGTGGTCACCAGATCACCCCGATCCTGCACTTTTCCAGGCTGAAGAGTCCCATAGCTTTCAGCCTCTCATAAGGTCCATTTTCCTGACCTCTTGCGTGGCTCTCCTCTGGACTCTCTCTAGCTTCTCCATGTCCTTTTCGAATTGTGGCCCTTGGCCCTTGGGTCCCACAGGGGAAAGACATTTGGGGCTGGCAACCCCAGAGAAGGGGCTGGGTGAGTAGCCCCCTGCCTAGTCAAGGCCCTAAGGGTAGGGGCCTCTGGTGCTTCCTGGACATCCCCAAGGGACCCCATTGGAAGGAGCACTATCTCTTGGCATGGGTCAGGGACTATATTAAGGAATAGGAGTTATTAAGATTGTTCTTGTTCGCACCTTATATTTTGTAATTGAAATGTTGTATTGTGATGTTGTATTGTGTTTATGCTGTTGAAATTGTGTTATTGTGATGGGTAAATAGTGTTATTTAGGGTTTGACCTTGGTTACTGGTTAATGTTCACTGTGTAAATATATGTATATGATATTTAGTTTTATGGTTATGTATATTATAACTCAATAAATTGTATATAGTTAAGAACTTTGGGCTTGGGGTAACTCTATAGAGGAAAGGGGGATCTGCTTGAAAATCCGGCATCCCGCTCACAGCACCCCCTTCTTTCCTTCCCCAGCCTCTTTCTTTCCTTCTTTCCATCTCCAGACAAACGTGGATATGGGCCCCAAGGACAGGGCCGAGACAGGAGCACTGCACCTTTTGAAGGCAGGAGCGGGGCAGGCTCAGCTGTGTGGGGCAGGCAGCAATGACCTGGGAATGAGGCAGGGTGCTTGGAAGGGGAGGTGCTGGGAGGGGTGCCTATGGGGAGGCTAAGGGAAATTTTGGAGTGGTTACCATGAAAAAAAAATCAAATGTTATGATACCACGTAGTTAACTCAAGACTCACATATGTGTTGCCAGCAGTAACCCAGGGACCACTGGGTTAAAGCTGTTGATAAGTGTTCACTTCTTAATGAGTTACCACAATATTGGTGTACCGATACGCATACTTTACTATGAATGCAAATGTGTATGATTCTCCTCTTGTGAGTGTAAATCAGACATATTTCTACCATTTTTCCAATGGCTGAACTGGAGACAGAAATTAGACCTATACATTATACCTATATGTCAATAAGGATTCTGCATAGACATCAAGAGAAGAGATAACTTGCACATTCTTTAATATATTAAAAGTAAGAATGAAAAATAATTGGTGACAATCTATTTCCATTTAGGAAAACAAATCTTAAATACCAGAACAAAACACTACCACCCTTCCTTCCCAAAACTCTCATTTTAAGTTTTACAGTTGAACAGTGAGGAATATTTTCTCACTTCAGCTACAAATTTTTACACATTTTCTCTATTGCTGTCTCTTGTTCTCTTAAGATTTTTTTATGCGTTTTAATATTTTCCTCTCTGGTTGCTTCCGTCATTCCTAGAAGAGTTGCAGAGGAAGATTCCTTAGTTAAAGACCTTTACCAACCTGCGTGCTTGCTCTAGAAAGTGAAGTTTGATTCCACTTGGTCAATTCACCTGGGTCATCCTGAAGGCATAGGCTTTGCTCAAGGCTCTTCCTAAAAGAAACCTTAGTGGTATGTTTGCAACTCTTCTCTTTCCAGTGAATCTAGGGAGAATCTTATATAATTGATGGCCAGTGAAGTTTTTCATTGTTGGACAAACTTCATCTTTCCTCTGTTTTATGGTTTCTTCCATCACTTCAGCTACTTCTCTTTCTTTTGTCAAAGTCTGCTCCATTGTCAGAGTTTAGTGTTTAATGGAAATAATCCAATACATATGCATTTAAATAGGAAATGCTGGATTGTCAAAACTTCTAATAAAGTTTATGTCCATTACCTAAAAAGGACTTTTATCTTTAACAGTTTAGCCTGTGGGCTCTGAAGCATGAAAGAACTGCTCCCTTGTACTCCACCTGGAAGTTAAGACATTAATTTAAACCTAGTGAATTATTGCTCATTTCCAGTATAGTCTAGGGAAGTGTTAGGAAAAGGTTTCTAATCACAGACAGAGTTAGTATCCACATCCTAAGCCATCTGCCCCCTTCTTCCATGTTTTCTCTCTAAAGACAATGATACAGATTGGCAAGAAGGCACAGTGATTCTTCCCGATCTAGAAGGAAACTTTTGTGGGAAAAGCTTACCTGCCTTAGCTTGGACAACTGTTTTTCTTATTCATAATACAGGGCTGAAAGGCAAATAATACAGGGTTGCAAGTTTACTACACTCACACAAGACACCAGCCAGTAACAGAGAAAGGAGGAAGATGCTGCCTAGGATTATTCATGCATTATGTTAATTTGTAGAATTTGTAGAAGGATGCCAAAATAAATAGGTGAGTAAGACTTTTAAGAAGGAGTATACATATCTGAATCACTGCAGACACAGGATTAATGCAGTATCTGGATAGTCCATAGGGTCAGGTTCTGTAGCCCTTGCAAAGATGAGGATTTGCAAATTGGCCCAGGGTAATACACAAAGTTGCAGCAAACAGCTACATGGGACCACTGAGGTGCCCCAGCTCTTTGTTGTGGCTTTGATTTCACAGGACACTGCTTGTCCAGTCAGCTGTGTGGGGAGGAGGTGTCCTTTGAAGTAAAAGCTCCCACAGGCAGCTGAAAGGCTCCTTTCTCTTTTGGCAATGAAGTGATAATTAGGAGGGTTGCAAACCACCTGGAGAGGGTTTTATGATGGTAAGTCTGAGGTGTAACTGAGCTTGTGCCAAAAAAGGAGATTTAGTTAAGGTATTTGCATAGAGTTACATTTTCATGTTTCTTTCCAAAGAGAACACCCCAGTCCTACCAGTTAATACAAGTATTGACTCAACTATACTGAGGTACTATTTTAAGGCACAGAAAGTTACATGTGCCAGCATAGAACTTTACAGCCTTTAAAAATATATCTTGAATAACTTTTCATTAACTTCTCAAAGTAAATCTTGATCTTATGCACTGGACATGCCCATTCTCTCCTCCACTTCATCATAAACTGAGCTTTAAAAAAAGCCTGAAGAAGCATTTAGAAGTACTAAATAAAATACTTTTTTTTGTAAATGAACATTTAGGTACCTTTGCCATCTTTCTCTTCTACTCTTTTCTGGTAGTTGCCACCTTTCCAAGGACAGTAGCTTTGCCAGAAGTCTCTTTAGACTCTATTGGATTCATCCTCCTGAGACAGACTCTCACATCTTTCAGGATGCCACATTTCTTCCTTGACACCTCCTCCTGTTCCCATTGTATCTCCTGTCCACTTCTTTTTTGCAAGCCTTTCTTAGACACATGCAGGACCTGTAATGAAAACTTGATCACACAATCCAACCCCCATCTCCAGGTACAGGATGCATGGGGCTTCCTTCCTCCACATGAAGAAATGCCCTTACATCCCAATTCCTCCACCTAATTTCCAGGAGAATTGTTTTCCCACAGTTCTATAGCAAAGAGATACAGCCTAACAGGAAGGAGGGGTAGAGGTAGCCAATGAGCAATTAGACTTTCATTCTATTTTTGTTTGATCCACCTTTAACTCTCTTGAACTATAGTATAGTCCAAACCAACTTTGAATTTAAGATAGCCCCTCAGTAATTAGATTCTATACATGGTAAACTATAAATTTGTTAAAATTTTCCATATATAGAATCTAATTGGTAGGTCATCTTAAATTTGCTCACTGCTATGACAGGGAAAGCAGTGGTGGAGAGTTAGAGGCCAGACCACTGCTGTTTGCTTCCCTACTCCTTGTCTCCCCATGCCTGTGCCTGCTCCCCCATGCACTACCCTGCCATACGCTCCCAACATTTGCCATGGGATGTGGGGGTAGGCTGCAAGTGATTCCCCCACCCTGCAGTCTCCCTTGTGCTTCCTACCAGCCATGTGCACCCTCCCTCATCAAATGAGCCATTCAAACCTAAGGCAGGTGGCAGCCCAGCCCTGAGGCTGGGCTTGAAGCCTGAGCTGGGCTTCTGCCTGTCCTGGGCCAGTATTCAAATTCAAGATGAAGCTTTTTTCCCCGCTGTGCTGATTTGGGATGGGGGGCACCTTGTCTTGGATTCAGTAAATATGGTAGTTATTTTAAAATAAGATCCTCATGAACTTTTTTCACTTGCTTTCAGACACACTTGCCATCCTACTGAAGTGGGAACTATACTTACCTTTCTTCTTCTGGACTGTCCCAGGCCAGAAACATTGCCAGAATTCTCTTTAGGCGATATTGGATTCAGCCTCTGGAGACAGACTCTCATATCTTTAAAGATGCCATATTTCTTTCTCAACTCCTCCTCTTGTTCCCATTGCATCTCCTTTCTACTTCTTTTTTGGAAGCCTTTCTCTGATGCAAATGCCATCTTGCTCAGGATCTGTAACCAAAAGAGGATTACACAATCCAATCCCTTCTCTGAAGATACATGATGCACAGAGCTTCCTTCCTACGCATAAATAAATGCCCTTACATTCCAATTCCTTCTCCTAATTTCTAAAATGATTGTTTCTCCACAGTTCTATATTCAAGAGATACGGTTCAGCAGGAAGGAGACATAGGGGTAGTCAATGAGCCATTAGCCTTTCCCTCTGTTTTTGTTTGGGCCTCCTTTAACTCCCCCTTGGTCTAGTTATTTTAAGTGAGATTTTCATAAACTTCCTTCACTTGCTTTCAGACACACTTGGTGCACTCCTGAACCAGGAACTACACCACCTCTTATCTTTTGGACAATAGTGCAAATGAGATGAGAATGAGTCACATGCACTACCAGCAGTCTTATTAATATACCTTAGATACTGCATAGTGAGTTTAGTACAGAGTCCTAGAATCATAGAAAGTTAGGGCTGGAAGGGACCTCAGGAGGTCATGTAATCCAACCCCCTGCTCAAAACTGGACAAGCCCCATCTAGATCATCCCAACCAAAGTATTTCTTTAATGAAGTACTAACTGAATGTGCAGTAACTAGAGTTACTCCTTTCTTGCCTCTCCCATTCTGTATCATTTCTTCCTCCTCAGACCTAAAATTAACCAATATGGCCCCCCAAATCTGCTGCTGTTTGGCAAAGCAGCCACAACAGCACTCATAAAGGGACAATTTATGTTGCTGACCTATGTCAAAAAATGTCATGTAGAGGTTGAAGGCAGCTCCCAAACACCTTATTGTGATTAGATACCAGTAATTTAAGAGAAATCATTACAATAACATTCTCATTAGCCACCCAAAAAGCTAAGCATCTTAAGTCACAATTAACATGAACAGAAAAGACCCCAAATATGTGAGAGTAAATATGAAATGATTATATTCCAAATATCCCTTCCATCCGCCCTATGAGTTACAACGTGCTTTGGTAACAGTATCCACAAATTGTAATCTCAGACTAGACAGGCTTAGTTAGTCATGGTACTTTAACTCCAAATAAGATGGATAGGGGTGAGTTCGGAGGGTGGCTGGTCTGGCTTTCAGTGCTTTCTGCAGATGAGCATGTTTGTGAGGGAGATGGGTAGGACAAAACCCTGGGATGTTGGGGTGCCCCCAGGAATATACCCTGAGGTTGTGTAAGCTTCAGTGGTCCCCCACTCTGGTAATAGGGACAGCCAGGTTATTAATTTTCCCAGCAATCACAATTTACCACAAGCACTTCAGTCAAATAGAGAGAGAGAAAAAAAATGAAAGGGTTTGTTCCATGGAGAGAAAGAAAAGCGATCAAATGCTTGGGCAACAGAATATGGTCAAATAAAACTGACAAAATCCTTATGCTGCTCCCCGATGCTCACCAAGCCCTCATAACATTTCTGGGGTCAGCATCCCTTCAGTCGTGGCTAGCTCCCTCCATCGGGGACCCCTGCCCACTTCTCCTCACAGACAGCCCTCTCCTAACAGTCACTCCTTCCAGAACATTCCCTGCCCGCCCTCCCGCCACCTACCTCAACTAAAGCGTGGGTCCACGACCCCTGGAAAGAGTGGAGACCCCATGGCCAAGCAAGCTGTGACTCTCTGAATGCTCAGCTTGAGATACAGTGCAGTGTCTTTGGTTGTAGCCACCTTGGTCTAAGGACATAGGCAGGCAAGGCTCGATGCAGTGTCCAAAGAAACTTGCCTGCCGGTGAAGTGCCTTGGCTTTCAGAAAATGTCAACAACAATCAGGTCCATTTAATGGCTCTCAATTTAGGCACTTCAAATCACTAGTTACTCTTGAAAACCTTGGACTGTCTTGGCAAGATTGGGCATTTTAGTTTTCTAGGCCTGCTGCTAAGATGAAACTGTTCATGAGAGATGAACAAACCATGCCTCACAATTGCGCAGGTTAGCAGAGTTGGACATTTTGGATACCTTAACTGAATTTGCCTACTCGTAGGCAGCAAGTTGCAGTCCAGTTCGGTTAAAAATCAAAATGTCTCAGGAGGGCACAGAACAACTGCAGGGTCTCCCTCTGCCTGAATAAAGGCACTTGTACCTGAAGGCTTGCAAAGAACAATTTTTCCAACTATTTCGTTGGTCTAATAAGGGATATCATATTTACCCAAAGAACCTTGTCTGCCTTAGGAGTTTCTACTAGCTATACATCCGTCAGGGATTTGTACCCATACCTTTAAGTGTATGTATCAGTAACAGTGGAGGTTAGTGAGTCCTGAACATGGGTTTTCTTTGTTATTAGATTATTATCATTTCACAATCACAAATGCTGCCATAGTACCCAAAAGTGTCACTTAAGAACCCAGGCTACGTTGTGCAAGTTACTGTAGCAACATCAGAAGGCAGTGACTGAAAAGAGCTCATAAGGCAGAAAAGTTGAGGAGAAAATGAGGGCCTTTGCCCTGTCCTTGCTGACCTGCTAAGTTTTGTGGATGGCATCATGTTGTGCTGCAGGCAGGGTCAAGGAACATAAGGAGACACGTGTGGTTCCAGCAGAGATAAGTGGTGTATGAGGGTGAACCTGACAGTGACCCTGACCATCAGTGCTACCTCTGAACATATATAGAGATGTTTAGAATTAAACTCTCAGCAGACTACTGGCCAAGGAAGGTGAGGACCAGTGGAGATGGAAGTAAGGATGAGAGTGAGATGGAGTGAGAGGGTAAAGAATAATGCAGCAGATAATAAAGTGGAACCCTCTTTTAATCCTTTATTTCTTAGAGGCCATACTTTATCTCCATGCCTAGTCCTCAGCCCCTTCCAGCAAGATACCTGATGAGCCACTGGCAGTTCTTCTCCTTCCCACTCTCTCCTTTTTCTTGTTTACCTCTCCCTATGAATTGTGATCCAGGAGGGAAACAGTGAGGAGAGGCAATATTGTTAACACCTGTCAAAAGAAGAGTTCAGAAGGAATCAGGTAGATTACAATGAACCATAAAGGCAACTGAGTTCCTTACTGCTGCCTGAATAGAAGTGCTGGTGCCACTGCCACACAGTTGGTTTTAAACTTTGGATGGACCAGGACTGCCCCACTTCGCTCCCCCTTCCCTGCATTTCCCTCCCAATCCACCCCTGAGCAAAGGTATAAAAAATGGGATTGTGAACTTTTCAATTGCATGCAATACCTGCAAGCTTCCTCTCTGCCAGGTAGTTTGATCAGCCAGCCTGCAATGATTAAAGGCTCTCTAGTTATACTCATTTTGTCATTTCTTTAAGTCTAATAAGTACTATAAAGTAGGGACATAGACAAACAGTAGGGAGCTGGGGCCCAACCAACCCAGATACAACAGCTGTGTTAAGGCTCTTCTCTCTTCTCCACCAGCCCTAGAAATACTACAGCAAAAACCTGGTCCCTTGTGGTCAGTTCTTCTCACGTTAAACTAATAAAATGGGCTAGGGAAAGCTGTGAGGAGTCATAGCATCAGAAGAAGCAGGGCTGGAAGGGACCTCCAAAGGTCATCTAGTTCAACCTTTTGCCTGAGACAGGATCAGCCCTAGACAACTATACTATACAATCCATAATCTCTACACACGACTACCCTCAACCCTGACACAACATAGATATAACACCCTAACCCACCACAGGTGAACCAGGGGAACCACGGCACCCAATATCTTGCTTCTATAAAATGTTGTCAACATATGCCCAAGAGTTCCCAGGTAAAGGACCATGCTTCCTGCTACAGAGGAAGGCAAACCCCCCCACAGTCCATACCAACCTGACCATCGGGTATAATTCCTTTCTGACCCCACATATGGCAATTGGCCTGACCCTGAACAGAGGGAATGAGTGCACCCATCTGAACTCTCTAGCCTTAGATACAGTCAACACCCAATGCCTCTAAGAGAGGCTTAAAAACACTGGAATGCATATCTCAGAAAAAGGGGCTGGGGGGCAGGGGGACAGAAACTAGCAAAGCCCAGAAGCATGGGACATACCCACAGTAGAAAAAAGGCATAACTATGCCTAGACCATCCTTGACCATAGCTATCCAATCTCTTTTTGAGCACTTCCAGTGATGGAAAGTCCACAACTTCCCTAGGCAGTCTGTTCTACTGTCTCACTATTCTAACAGTGAAGACATCCAATCTAAATTTACTTTTTCACAACTTCAAGCCATTAGTCCACATCCATCTATCTGCAGGCAGAGAGAAAAGTACTTTTCCTCTTTTTTATGGCATCCCTTTATGTTATCATGTCCCCTCTTAAGGGCCTTTTTGTAAGCTGAACATGCCTAGCTCCTTCAGCCTTTCCTGACATGACTTGCCTTTTGAGCCCTTGATCATCTTTGTTGTCTGCCTCTGGACCCTCTCTAACTTCTCCATGTCATTTTTTGAAATATGGAGCCCAGAACTGCACACAGTATTCAAGATAAAGTCTAACCAGTTCCAAGCAGAGAGGCACGATCACCTCCTGTGTCTTGTATCTAATGCTTCTATTGCTGCAGGTCAAAACCACATTCACCTTTTGTGTGGCTGCATCACGCTGAAAACTCATGTTCAACCTGCAATCAACCAAGAATCTTAAGTCCTTTTCCATAGAGCTGCTATGCAGCTAGGTGTTCTCCATTTTGCATTTGTGTTTTTGATTATTCCTCTTGAGGTGCAGCATTTTTCATTGGCTTCATCCTGGTAGCTCTAGCCCAGCTTTCCAATCTGTTGAGATCCTTCTGAATTGCACTTGCATCCTTCAGCATATTCATATTCCTTCCCAGTTTTGTATCACCCCCTACCTTGTTCAAGATTTCTATCCCAGCATCCAAATCATTATTAAACATGTTGAACACTACCAGGCCCAGGACAGGCTCCTGCAGGATTCCACTCAAAACCTCCTGCCATTTTGACATGGACCTGTCAATAATGACCTTTTCTGTGGTTATTGAGCCAGTTACCTATCCACCTTGTAGTAGTTTTATGAAGATGACATTTTTCCAAAGTGTTTATGAGAAGGTTGTGTGGGACCTTGTCAAAAGCCTTGTTAAAGTCAAGATACACTATATACACATCATTCCCTTCATCCACGCAAGTAGTTACTTTATCAAAGAAGATCTAGTTTGACACTATTTTTTTCTGTAAATTTATACTGATTGGTTGCAATCAACCTTTCCTCCTCCAATGGCCTCCAAATGGTCTTTCTTAGGATATGCTCCACTAACTTGCCAGGTATTTAGATAAGATGAATCAGTCTGTGGTTCCCCAGGTCCTCCTTCTTGTCTTTTTTAAAGAGTGGCACTACTTTGTCTCTAGTCCAGTCCTCTGGTACCTGGCCCATTTCCCATGACTTTGTGAATATCATTGCCAAGGGCTCCAATATCTCCTCTTCCAGTTCCTTTCAGGACCCTGGGATGAATCTCACCTGGTTCTGCTGACTTGAATTCATTCAGACCTATCACAAACCATCTGTTTCTTTTCTTTCCTTTTGCATTTTTAATCATTTTAGAAGCTTCTTGTGCATCTACATTTGTCTCTTGCCATTCTTCTTGTGCTTTCATCCTGGCCACCTTTATCCTTCAATCTGTCCTCCCATGACATCATGCCAATTATCTCCTTGAGTTGGATGAAATCTGCTTTTTGAAATCTAATGTCCTAATTTTGCTGACTTCATGCTTTCTCTATTTCCAGATGTGGAATTCTATCATATTGTGATTGTTTTCTCCCAACTTACCCATCACCTTCACATGCTCTATCAATTCCAGAAAATCCACATCTCCCATCAGTACCGTCCCATAGCTTGTGGATAAGTTTGTTACCAGCTTGAAGAGTGCCTCTTGCACCCCTCTTCCTGATTTGGTGGCCTATAATAAACCCCCACTATTATATCGGCGCTGCATCTTTCACTCTTTATCTTCACCCAAATGCATTCTGCTTTGTTGTATTCTTCCTCAGAAAACAAGTATATGTGTTTTTGACATACAAGGCAACACCACCACCTTTCCTCCCAACCCTGTCCTTTCAAAACAGAGTGTAATCCTTGATGCTGACATTTCAATCAAAAGAGCTGTCCCACCAGGTCTTGGTGATGCCTAACAGATCATAGTTCTTTTCAAAGACTGCTGCTTCCAGGTCATTTTGTTTGCTCATTCCCCATACTTCTCGCATTTGTATACATACTTGAACATATTTGCTTTTTGATCTAGTCACTTTTCTTTTGCACCACTTGTTGCTGTCCTGTGGCTCTCTGGCCCTTTCCCAGAGTTGAGTTGCTTCTCCTGGTCCTTTCCCCTCTGGATTATTTGTTCTGCTACTGGAGGGTTTTGATCACCATTCCTTGTAGAACCTAGTTTAAAGCCTTTGTTACTAGGTTGGCTGGATGATACCCAAAGATGCTCTTCCCTCTTCTCATCAGATGGAGTCCCTCTCTTGATAGCAGCCCCCCTACCAAAAATATCTGCCCATTGTTGAAAAGCCAAAGCCTTTACATCCATACCACCATCTCAGGCACACATTCACTTCCAGGATATGATGGTACTGCTGTAGACCCCTGCCTTCCATGGGCAGGATGGATGAGAATACCACTTGTGCTGCAAGCTCCTTAGTACTCCTGCCAAGAGCCTCATTGTGATTTCTGATCTGGTCAGTGTCATTCCTGGCAGTATCATTGGTGCCTACATAGACAAGTGGGTAGGGTACTGGTCCAAAGGATGGATGAACTTCAGCAGACTTTCAGTGATGTCCTGAATTCAGGCTCCAGCAGACAACACACCTCCCAGCTCCCCAAATCTAGATAACAAATTGGTGCCTCTGTCCCCCACAGAAGGAAGTCACTAACCATGACCACTCTTCTTTTCCTTCTTGGTGCAGTGGTCCTTCCTGCTCTCTTGGCTGCTGCTACTTCTGCCTCATCTGCAGATGTTCTCTTCTTTGCCTCTTCCTCAGCAGTTCCACCACAAAGTGCTTGAAAGTGGTTGCTGACTTCATTTGCATGAATTGAAGAGGAGCAGATTGAAGTGCTCCTGACTGTCTGGGAGAAACAAGCATGGCACATCCCATGCAGGTCACAACAGCTGATCCAGACTCCATCTGTGCCTCCTTTGCTGCCTGGAGCACATCTATGCTGTAAGGATAAAAAAAGAATGCAAGGGGAGGGGGAAAAGGACACACCATAAGAACCTGCATGCCAAATGTCTGCACAAGGTATGTCCATGCATCCACACACACGTAGCATCTCCTGTTCCCTGGCTCCCTCCTAGGCTGAACTCCCTAGGCAAACTCCCTCTGTTTACTGCCCTCTGCTTGCTGCTCCCACAGTTTGCTACGGGTTGCCTTCTTATAAGGCTGCCTTTCCTAGCTCCACCCCTCAACTACCTAAATCAGTCCTACCCAGAGCAAATGCTGTCACTCAGTCACTCAAGAAAGACAGACAGACAGACACCAGTCACTAGGCAAGCACTCTATTAGCAGTCAACCACCCAAAGTCACTAGCACAGAGAAAAGTCTCTTCAAAGCAACCCCACACCTGAGCTGCTTATCCCAGAGCCATTGCTCTCTGCTTACAGGAGAGGGGGCAAAGGCACAGGAAGTAGAGAAACTGCACAAGGTATGCCCATGCATCCACACACACGTAGCATCTCTTGTTCTGAGTTTTCTGTTTTGAGTTGTTGTGGCATTGTCCCTTGTTGAAACAGCTAGAAAGCTAGAAGGACGTGCTACCAGCACACATCCTTCAAGGATTAACAGGCAAAGCCCTGTGAAGCAGGGAGCAAGTTAATTAAATTGGGGAAAGTTGGCAGATAGATGCTACCCTCAATCTGGATGAACCTTCTTTTTTCTTCAAGCTATGTTATTATTTTTCTTAAATGTCTAGGGAAAGCTTACAGTTTGAATCAAGGCCTTGGATCAAGGTTCTACCTAATAACAAAGGCATATGTGGTACAACTTTTT